CTTCCTCCTCTGCACCGCCGCCCCCAAGGAGGACCAGGCGCCGCACAACGGAGGACGCTGCGAAAGCACTCACAGAAATATTAAATGCATGTTTTCTTAGGGGCACCAGGTGTCTTCATTGCAAAGGAGGACCAGGCACTGCAAAATGGAGGACATGCCAGGGAAAATGAAAGGCACCGCAAAAGCAAACGCTGAAAGCATTCACAGAAATATTAAATGCATGTTTTCTTGGGGGGGGGGGCAGATGTCTTCATTGCAAATAGAGGACATGCCAGGGAAAATGCAAGACATTGCAAAAGGAAAAGCTGAAAGCACTCATAGATAGAGTAAATACGTGCTTCTTAGGGGCACCAGGTGTCTTAACTGCAAAGGAGGACCAGGCACCGCAAAATGGAGGACATGCCTGGGAAAATGAAAGACGTTGCAAAAGAAAAAGCTGAAAGCACTGACAGAAATATTAAATGCATGTTGTCTTAGGGGGGCCAGAGGTTCTCTTCACCGCCGCCAAGGAGGACCAGGCGCTGCAAAATGGAGGACCTTCAAGGAAACATGTAGGGACACGATCAAAGAAAAAAACAAAACACACTCGTAAATAGGAGTATTAAATGCGTACTTCTTAGACTGTGACCAGAGGTCCTCACCGCCAAGGAGGACAAGGCACTGCAAAGGAGGGCTTTCAAGAAAAATGGAGGGCATGACCAAAAAAGCTGCAAACCCTCATAGAAATGTAAATGCATGCTGCTTAGTCCTGCTCAAGATGGAGGACATTCTAGAATTCCTCCAGGACAGAAGGCTGGAATGTAAGACAGGTCCTGGAAAAGGAGGATGCCTGGTCACCCTGATGCAGGAGGCAAGCTTTCCAGAAGAGAAGGGGGGGGGGGGAGGCGGTGCAGCTAACCTTCCTCAGACAGGGAAGTGTGGCCTAGTGGTTTTGAGTGTTGGACTGCAACCCTGGAGGCCAGGGGTCAATTCCCGGCTGGGCCATGAAACCCACTGAGTGACCTTGGCCAAGTCACACTTTCTCAGCCTCAGAAGAAGGCAAAGGTAAACCTCTTCTGAACAAATGTTGCCAAGAAAACTTTCGAGTCATTTCCGACAAGGTTTTTTTGTGTGGCAAATTTCTTCAGAGGGGCTTTGCCCCATTGCCATCCTCTGAGGATGAGAGCGTGCCTTGCCCAAAGTCACTCAGTGGGTTTAGGGTTGCCATAACTTGGAAACGACTTGAAGGCACACAACAACAATGAAAACTCTCATCAGTCTGCTAAGGTGTCAGTGTGGGACCATGCGCCACCCCCAGCCTAGCAGACCACCCTTTTATTTCTTGCAAATGACATCCCTCTTCTGCTCCTAGGTGCTAACTCAGGGATGTTCTATGTGTGGAATGGGACCAAAGTAGAGACAAAGCCTTTGCACTTTTTTGAAATCATTTCTCAAGGGAGCGTTGGGTTCCTCTGTAGTCACAAAAATACCTTAACACACGCACATGCACACACCCAGCTGTGTGTGCTATACTTTCTGCCTGAACCTTTGGATAAGACATAACACATTGTGCAAGAAAGTTCTTGCTGCTCAGGGTGATTTATATCCCGTTACAAAAATGTCTCTCTGTTTTATTTGAGAGACCATGGCCCCATCTGCACAGCAGAAATAATGTTGCTTGACACACTGCTTTAACTGCCATGGTTCAATTCTGTGGAATCCTGGGATTTGTAGTTTGTTGTGGCACCAGAACTCTCTGACAGTGAAGACTCACAAAGCTCCAAATCCAATAATTCTACAGCATTGAGCCCTGGTAGTTTGTCAGACTGCATGAATTCAGTGTAAATGCAGCCACTGTTATTACAATATATTCTCTTTTTTTCATTGTTTTATAAAAATGTACCTGCAAATAGGCAAAATTTATAATAGCCTGCTTGCCAGTGTTGTGTACTCTCATTCACTCACTAATACACAAACACACATACACACACAATAAAAACACTTCCAGGCTCCCTTAATATGGTAGGTACGGTATATGTGTAGAGCCAAGAATAAATCCATAAGATAGATCCTGGTTTTATCATTTTTGTATTGATTATTGTATTAATTTATTTTTATTAATTTACTAGCAGATGCACCATACTTCACAAATGATAGAAAACCATGGGCCCTCCTGGAACATACTTAGTTTTTTTTTAATTCTTATTCACCAGCTCTCATTCTTCCTCTTCTCTTACACAGTCCCTATCTGTTCCCTCTTGGGAACAACTGTTATAAAAAGAAGCCAAGATAAATGCCTTTAAAACACACTGCTTCTCTCTTTCTCTTTCTCTTTCTCTCTCTGTGCATATTTTGCAATTTTTAATTTCCAGTATATTAAAGAGCACTTTCCCACTTTCCCTTCATTGTTGATGTGAATATTTGGAGCTCCCCTGCCATTCCAACCAAATATTGGGAAGACCCCACTGGACTAATCTCTGGAACATGAAAATGTGAAACAGCATAAGCAAATAAATAAATACATAAATAAAATGGATGGGTTTCAATTCAAAATCACATCCAGAAAAAATAGTTGGCCGGTAGGGCAAACTTGCAGTACATGGAGGCTACTGATAAGTCATTTCTCTTCTTGTTGGGCAGGAGTATATGCCAAATTTACTTCTAATTATCTTTTATAAGGAGAAATACAATATAACAGAAATAAGAACAGAGAGGGTGGCTATGAAAGAAATAGATCCTAAAATGCAAAGATATACAACTCAGCACAAAAGTTAGAATCATACAAGCCATCGTATTCCCTATTACCATGTATGGATGTGAGAGCTGGACAGTTAAGAAAGATGATAGGAAGAAAATCAATGCATTTGAGATGTGGTGCTGGAGAAGAGTGCTGAGGATCCCGTGGACAGCCAAAAGGACAAACAAATGGGTCCTAGAGCAGATCAAACCGGAAACCTCCCTGGAAGCCATGATGACCAAACTGAGGCTGTTGTACTTCAGACACATCATGAGAAGAGAGGACTCAGTGGAAATAAACAATAATGCTGGGAAAGGTGGAGGGAATAGGAAGAGAGGAAGGCCACATGCTAGATCAGGGGTTGGCAACCTACGGCCTGCGGACCGGGTCTGGCCCCCCGAGGCCTTTGGATCGGCCCCCGCCAACCCCCACCGCCACCCCCGTCGACCCCGAGTTTGGTTCAGTCTGAAGTCAGGCAGATATGCTGCTAGATTTCATACTGACCTTTCAACACAGCCCCCCCCCCCAATGTTTCAGGCAGCCGTGTCGAGCCACTGTCACTTCCATCATCCCTGACTGGAGCTCTACTTCTGGACTGATACAGCTTGCTGCAAGCTACTACCTTTAATTTTGTTTGTATGTGTGCGTGTGTGGGAATGCTATTGCATGAATGGTGATTTATCCCATTGCTGTTAGTCAATAAAACCTTAGTCAATGAAGTTGTACTTAGCACTCTGGAGTTATAGTTTTTTGGAAAAGACAGAGGCAAGATTCTAACTCTTTGAAGTTACCCAGAGCCTTCTCGCTGCTATTTGAGCTATTAAAATTCCCCTATTATATATTAATTTGTGGGTGCCATCTAGGTAACCTAGCAATTTGGGTAACAAATGTATATAACTAAACCAGTGTGAATCATGAACATTTTTAGAAGTGGTAGTGGTTATACAAACTACTCTACTGTACATTCTCCTCATTTCATGAGTGAAATGGGCTTCTTTCTCCTTTACAAATAATTAGAATCCCAGTGTTGTGGCAGATTATGTATTTTGTATTTTTAAACTAAGCATGGGATGAGGATTCAGTTGCCAAAAGACTTTGTTTATAATCCTTTGCATATTGTTTACGGCCTTTTGTCTACAAGAGGAAGAAGAAATATGGTGATCTGTGAATTCCTAGAAAGTATATTTAGGGGAGAAAAGGGAGAATGTATCTGTACTTTGGAGTACTGCCAATATTTTGAGCAGACAGAAGCATGGATTTCACAAGGCAGAGGAATGTTCTGAATGGTTCATATTTTCTGAGAACCTGTTAATATGCTCTTTCTTGAAGTGGAAAAGTCCACATACAAATGCAAGAACATTTCTCTGTGCTAGCTGCCATATTTAGCTCTTCAAAGTTATAACTTCAAATAAGATATGAGTAGCTTTTAAGCATTTTCCTTGAAATGGTACTGAAAACATATTCAAGTGGGGAATGGTTCAGGCACACACCATCCTGTGTAAAAGTGAGGTGGTGTGGTCACTTCAGCAGACCTAAAATAAATATTTGAGTCATCTCCAGAAGTGTACAGTAGAACTCCTTAGGACCTAATCTGCTTCTCAGCAAAAATCAGTGTTTATATATTATATTAACTTTGGTAGGTGTTCAGGTCAGTTAAATCATACATTGGGTTTATGCCTATATGGAGATTATCGCTTGGCTTTTAAAATTGGTTTACCTCTATCTGGCTTAATCTTAATTTGAGCAGCATCCTGATTTTATCAGACATTTTTTGCTGCTAAATTTGCCACCCAAATACAGCTGGGGTACATCCCCGCTTCCAGGATGCACTCCTCGCAGCTCTTTTTGGATCTGGGAATTTTCCGGTTTAAGAAAATGGCCACAAGGAGCGGCTCTGGAAGTGGGGATGGACCCAGGCTGTATTCGGGTGGCAAATTCGGTGGCAAAAATATCTGATAAGATCGGGATGCCGTCCAATTTAAGATTAAGCCGGATAGAGGTAAACCGATTTAAAAAGCTAAATCCTCACTCTTGACAGTACTTTAATTGAAATCTACTTTTCCCTTATTGCACAGAGATTAACAGCAGAATGGCAAGAGAGGGAGAAGAAGAAAGGAAGGACCTTATCACACAGGGGAAATCCCGTGCAGAAACAGGATTTAAAAGGTGGGGAAAACCCGCAAAAGCGGATAGATTTTCACACACATCACTTTTAAACTGTGCTTAACGAACGGAAAGTAATCAAAAGCCGCTTCTTTTTACTTTCGGGATTTTCCAAAAATAAAAAGAAGCAGCTTTTGACTACTTTCCATTTGGGTTAAGCACAGTTTAAAAGTGATGTGGTCTGAAAATCTACCCGCTTTTGCAGTTTTTTTTCCTATTAAAAACCCCATTTCTGCATGGGATTTCCCCCATGTGATAAAATCCAAAAAGTAAACGAGTGAGCGAGATCAACCCTATAGCACTCATCACTACACTCTCAAAAGATTTGTTACTCCTCATGATTACATGTGATTTCAGATGTATCCATACATTCAGAATGCAGATTTTTGTGTGCATGTATTTTTCAATGAAAACTGCATCTCTTGTGGGTGCAGTGGGGGATTGCCTCTCTGAAGCAAAAAAATGGGGAAGAGGGGAAGACAGGGAAGACAGCAGCTGGGGAAGAAAGGTTTAAATCCTTTCCCAAGCCTGCTCTAATCTCCTTAATTAGCATCCCAGTTGATGCATTTTGTATTTTTAAGCAGTTGCACAAATTCTTGTAGTTCCATGTTAGAATATGATGACAGAGAGGGCCGATATTACATTGGCACAGTGTCATGAACAAAATGTATCAACAGTCCCCCAGCTCCTTAAAGGCAAGCTCACTTTTATGCCATAAACTTTCAAGAGCTAGAATCAACTTCATGATCCCAACATCACATATATAGTGTGCTGAATATGTTACCATTGCCAAGAGAGAAAGCCTTAACAAAGAATGCACAGTTACCTTGGATCTCTTTACATTGGAATTAGTATATGTGTATGTGTGTGTGTGTGTTTGTGCACATACATGCCTCTGTGTGTGTGTGTGTATGCCTGTGTGTGTTTGCGTACATGTGCATGTATGTGTGCTTTTAATATTGTGCATGTGTTTAGGTGAGTTTTGGGGGAAGGGGTCTCCCTATTGGTGTAATTTTGGGCAGAGGTTGTTAGATGTGCTAGGTGAAGGAAAGACGGGGCAGATATTTGAGAACTATTCTGTGCTTTGGTCTTTCCCCATCCCACG